TTCATTAATATGTAGGGATAGTTGAGAGTTGTTAGCATAAAGGTGAAAATGGATATGGTACATATAAAGACCCAAATGAGTACTAAATAATTTTTTCAGCTTTTTGTGAAATTACAAACATATATGCAAACTATTTTTTCAGGAAATGAGAACAGGACTGTTACTGATCCTTATGATGATAAATCCTACGTATATTACATTCCTACTTCATTTATTTTTCCTGTTTTTAATTATCATATATTTTTCTTTTTTTAGGTGGAATCTGTGTTGAGGCAGGGACTTACCATATTAACTTGGTCATCTTTGACATTAGACAGTTTCTTTCAAGAAGTTGATGAAGTTATGAATATGTTTAAACAACTTTTGAAAAAGGTATACATATTTTGCCAAATTAATTAAAGTAACATTTTTAGAATAAATTATATCAACAATATATATTTTTTCAATTTAGAAATGGTTCACAGGAAAAACAAACCTATATCTTTCTTGTTTGGCATACTTGAAGTATGTGTTTTGTTTTAAGATGTGTATTGTTGGAAGAATAATAAGGATTCTTGTAGATTATTCATTTGTACTTACCTCCATTTAAACACTGGATCTTAACTTCTCTTCTTGAACACAAACTTCTTCATTTTCTTTGACAAGCAAATCTAATTGCTTATCAACATGGTTTTCAAATTCTCACCATTGCTATCCTCTTCTGATTTGAAGAGCAAGGTAAGTGTTGCATTCTCTCAAGTTTAGACAGAAATAAAATGGCTCCAGCTACTAGCATAGGTAAGAATAATGTCATGCTGACGAGTACAAAATATAATGTGAACCTAAACTAAAACTATGAACCAGTTGCCATCCGTAGATTCAGTGACAAAAGATTAACTTTAAATTCTTCTAAGCATATGTAACTATCTCACAGTACATATTGCTTACTTCTATCACTGCTGTGATAAGCCTGCATACATAGATAGGGAGCCCTGCAGACTGCTTTTTTTATCCTTTTTTTTCCTGCACTACTATATTGTTGCTGTACTGTGTCAGCTTTTCTTGGCCACCACCAGTACAAAAAATAATTCCTGACACAATGCAAGAACTTGATGGACTGCCTGTGCTCTGCTGGGTTGCCCTCCCAGCAGATGCCTTGGTAACTGAAGTCCCAAATGAGAACCAGGCCTTGTAAGCTTTGATTAGTTGTTTAAAAATAGCCTTGTCAAACTGTTTCTTGGTATGGTGGTCTGTAGCAGATACTCACCTTGACTGTGTTTGTGTTGTTCTCCCCTCTAACATTGACCTTTATGGTGCACATCAGAAGAAGCATACACAACCTCTTTTTTTTCCTTGGCCTGTCCTTCCTAAACAAGTTAGACCCATCCATGACAGTCTGCCAGTCATGTGAACTATCCCATCAAGTCTTTGTTATCCCAATTACATCCTAATTCCATGTTTGTACTGGTACTTCCTATTTTTCTTTCTTATTCCTCATGCGTCTTTCTTACATCAGTTAGATCAGGGGTGGGCAAAGTGTAGCCCGTGGGCCAGATGTGGCCTGCCAGACCATTCCATTCAGCCCACGGGACCCCTAAAACATTTAGAAAATTTAATATTTATCTGCCCCCGGCTGCCTGTCACGCAGCCCTCAAAGGCTTGCCAAAACTCAGTAAGCGGCCCTGCACCTGAAATAATTGCCCGACCCTGAAGATGGTGTCATTTCTGTGCTTACCCCCAGAGTTTACTAAAAACTCAAGGTACACCTGCAGTAAATTTACTCCCTGCATATGAAAATCATCAGAATGAAATGTTTTTCATTTATCAAAATGAAATATTTCAACTGACCTGATCAATTTTATTTGCACTTTGCAAATTTTTTCAAGATTCTGACATTATATTCTATGACCATATGCAGGGAGTAAATTTACTGCACAGTAAAGCCAAATACCATTAATCGCACTTATAGATGGGCCCAGTGTATACTTGTGGCATTGTATAAATAATAATAGTACACAAAACTTTAGGAGTATAGGTGTGCTATTAATTTAGATCTGCTCTTTTTTAGGTTAATGACTTATGTGAAGTACAGATTGACTTAATATTGAAGGAAGTATCAAATACTCTTTTAATTGTGCTGCCAGAGGATCGTCCTGTTAAAGTGGAGGATATGCTGACACGCAATGAGGTACATATTTGGTATCTTAGAATTTTAATTTCTTTCCCTTGTGTACCTTCAAAAACGTTTTAAAAATACTTTCTTGGGTTTTTTTAATGTGGAAAAAATACACTATAATGCAATATACAAGCAACATGCCAAGTTAAAAATTGTTAACTATAGGTGTATTTTCTTTCCGAATAAAATTTCCTGCAAAACTTCAACTTCAGCAGTTTAGAGGTATAAATCAAGGACCATAATTATCAAAAAACCTATTTATTCTTAAATAATTTCAGTTACTTTATTTAAAAAAAAACAACCTCTCGCTGCTAGATAGCACTACCTTTTCTTTCGCTGAGGAGTACAGTATAGAGCAGGGATATCAAACTCCCTTAGCCTGCTGGGCCAGATCCAGACTGCAAGGCTTCTCCATGGGCCTGTTCCAGACCCACCTTTGGCAGTGAGACAAGCTGTGCTAGCATTCCTTGCCATGGGTTCCTGACCCACAAGGATTAATGTGCCTGTTACTCAACCCTCTGCCACCAGTGTACACCCCTGGTGGGGCTCCATATACCAAACTTCAACAGCAGGACCCTCCCCCACAACTTGTTGCAACCCCTATAGGAGCACCTGGACTGGATGATACAGCTCTGTTGACTGTATCGTTGACACCCTGGTATAACGTAACAGTCAAATAAAGCTACTGAGAAGGGTGCAAGGTTTTTTTCTGGACACTTACTGCTTAGAACTGGACAGGAAATAAATGCATAAATGCATTTTTTCAAGCTCATAGAACATAATGTCAGAATCTTGAAAAAAAAATTGCAAAGTGCAAATAAAATTGATCGGGCCAGTTGAAATATTTCATTTTGGTAATTTAAAAACATTCTGATCGTTTTGAAATGTTTCTTTTCAATTTTTTCTGTTTAAATATTTTCTTTACAACAAGCTACCTTGAATTTCGAAAACACAAAATCATTTTTGACGAAAATTAGATGTTTTTCATTTAGAAAATAAGACATCCAGCGTTGGTAATTTTGAAACCAAGTTTAAGGTTTTGTTTTATATTTTATTGTGAAATTCACTGAAATGGGCCTTGCCTTTTCCCTTAAAAACTTTCATTTCCACAAACACATTTTCTGACAAAATTCACCAACAATTTTTTTTGTTGCACAAGCCTGTCATTTAGACAGTAATTCAGCTATAGGTTAGTGTGACTTTAATAGTCAACTTTAGATGTTCAACTTATTCCTTTTACCATGTCACTTTTGGAAATGTTTGGAGGTATTATATATCTCCTTTATAGACTGCATTGTTTAGGAGATGTTATGACCTTTCAGAAAGGAAGAAAGAGAAGTTGTAAGTTCTGTATATTGTTGTCACTGGTATACGTGACTGGAAACTGGTTTAAATCTGTAACACATCAGAAGTTCAGTGCATATAAACTACCTTTAAAATGGCCAGAACTGGTTTAAGATAAATGTAGTTGGATGTAGTATCAGAATTAATTTAGGTTAAATCGGTTTATTGAATTTCTGTCCAAGATCACCTCCAGATTCAAGTTGACTCACATTCCCCCAGCATCCCAGGATGTTTGACCCTTCCCCTGCAAACTCACCCCTCCCCCATTTTTCAGGGAGAGCAGGCTAGCTTTGGCCCAAGCTGTCTGCTCCAGCCAAGCAGACAAATGTGCTCTAGAGCACCCCCAGCTTCTGGCTGGGGCCACTGCACGCAAGTGGCTGCATTTCCAGAATCAAAAGTGAATGTCTGTTCACTTGCTTATTGATTTGATCTCTGCAGTTTATATTAACCTGTGAAGATTTAATTGATTGGGCTTTTTAACTGTCTATACTTAGTCCCAGAGTGGAAATCAACAGTAAATGTAACTTACTGATATTTTTATCTAACAGACTTATACGAAAGAATGTGCTGAAATATTGAACCACAAAAGTATGCATATTGAAGATGCTGTCCAGGAACTGATATCTGTATTTGAGACAATTTATGAAGTTAAAAATTCTAAGAGAACATTAAAAAAAGTTTCATTACCAGGTAGCTATTTGTATGTGTTTAAGTAAAAAAAAAAAATGTTTAGGGAGTTGGAATATTGTGGCAAAGCAAAATTTATTAGTAAAACTGTTTCAGACTTCTTTGTTTAACCCACCTGTTTGTGAGCAGCTTCTCTGCTCACTTATTATTCTTCAGGGAAGGATTTTAAGCTATATAATTCAAAGGGAGTCCAGTATTATTACTGGCAGTTTCAGGGCAAGCCCTGCTCAAAGATGTCTGTCAGCCTCTGGCTGTCAAATAAGGTGATGGTTAAATTTATTTTTAGCTAGTTTTAAAAACCATACATTTATATTCCTCATATGCCCCAGACTCAGCACAGAGCCTAGTTC